ACGCGCAATCTCTCTCGTTCGCGTCGCTAATGGACGCGCCGATTAACGGAGGTAAGCCCGAATAATGCCCGGCGATCGGTCGCTCCCAGTCTGCGCAAGCGCCTTCGCTTTTGCGCGAAATGCTAAAAGCGAAGGCGAGGCGACGCGTCGATTGGAAAAAGAAGAAGGAAAAAAGCGCATATGTCATTGCGAGAGTTTGCGGATATCGCGCGGCACGGCGAAATGTGCTTCGCATCGATCGCCGAGCATCGCGTGCGCGATTTCGTCCGCTCATCTTTTCCACGAGAGTATACACGCGCATTATGTAACGTTACATAAGAGAGCAAATCATTTTTCCACTCTCTGTAAGAACTCTTCGAACATTCTCCCTCCCCTCCTCTCTCTCTCTTTCTCTCTCGCTGTTAGTGGTTAATCGTAACTCAGCTGTAAACTCACAGCGATTACCTACCGGAAATTTCGCCTCGAACGTTCTCCTCTCCTGCCGGGGTGGCCGCCATTGCTTGAGAGATCTCGCCAAACGAGGGGGAATAAAACGCGCGCGAGTCGTTAACGCGAGATGTTCGTTAAAAACGAAAAGAGAAAGAAGAAAGAAAGAGCTTCTCAGAACGAAGGGTCATCCCGGTGATTAGAAGACTTTTAAAACTCTCCACGCCGGCCGATTTTAATTTGTACCGGGAACTTTCCCAATTGAGCCAATTAGTCAATTGCGATAATTAACGCGAGCCGGAGGAGGGGACGCGCGCGCCCTCCGGGATTCATCAGCTTCGTTCGCCTTCGATGCCGCCGCTCCGGACGGAAATGCGCCCATTTGTCTTCCATGAAATGCGACGTTCCACGTCGTTTGTATCGAATCAATCGAGCGTGCGCGCGCGTGTGTGTGGGTGTGTATGTGACACGAGGAGAAAACTCTCCCGCGCCGGATCCGATAAGCCGAAATAATCCGCGGATCGCATTCCACCGTGGAATCGGGCGAAGGACGAAGAGCGGCGCAGGAAAGGGGTGGAGGCCAAGGGTTTGCAAGAAATCGCTTGGTTATATTTAATATATTGAAATTTTATTCTCATTTCGTATTTCATTCAAAAATAAAATTATTCTCGTAAAAAAAGATTTCTTCGCTCTCTGTCGGTAGACAATATATAACATATATATGTACATATATATGTTCATATATATATATATATATATATAATATTATTATTACATTATACAATATAGCAATATTTACTCTTTATGTGTTTAGGGTTACATATATCTCTATGTACGCGGCGCGCGCGCACGCACGTGTGTGTGTGTGTGTGTGTGTGTATGTGTCATCCGCGGCTGTCTCGCGTCGTTAAGAGCTTAAGCGCAACACAGTCCGCCGCGCGCGATTATATTCTAATGGGGGTTCTTCGCTTACTGACTAAATCACATGGTTTTCGTTACTTTCGTACACTTCGTGCCACCGCTCTCCTCGGCCGCTTATGCCTCGGAGAAGAAAGACGTGCCCTCAGCGAAGTATCGCTCGCTGTCCAATCAACACGAGAAAAAGGCACGCCGTGTATGTGTGGGTGGGTGTGTGTGTGTGTGTATGTGGCGTGTGCGCATGTGTGAACGTCCGATTCTGCCCGCGGGCTCGTTTCCGCATCGCTTTCTCTCTCTCTCTCTCTCTCTCTCTCTCTCTCTCTCTCTCTCTCTCTCTCTCTCTCTCTCTCTCTCTCTCTCTCTCTCTCTCTCTCTCTCTCTCTCTCTCTCCCCCCTTCGCTCGTCCTCACTAGGGATGTAACGATTTCTCAAAATATCGATAACGATATTATCGTCATTTAGAATCATCAATAACGATAATATCGATAATTTGGAAAATATCGATATTTATATCGATATCTATATATGTAAAAAAATGTATACATATAGGCGTATGCATGTATAGAGTATACACGAAAAATTTTTAAAAATCTTTAAAAAATGTTTGTCCTCATATAATTTATTGTCATATTCTTATTAGAAAATATATAATAAACCGCAGTCGTTTGCCGGAGATCACCGCACACATGCAGCAGGAGATCTATTACGGTTTAACGATCGAGGTGAAAATGATAAAAGTGAGCGAATTTACTTAGACATCGACGACCAATTACATAATATATATTCTAGTGAATTCACTTTTGTAATTTTCATCTCGGTCGTAGAACTGTAATAGGCCAGGCCCCCCCCCCCCCAGAGCTGTAACTGAAAAATACGAAATATCAATAAAATTCATATCGATATTTCGATTTTATCGGAGATAAACAAAATATCGATAAATGTTCGATATTATCGATTTATCGTTGCATCCCTAGTCCTCACCGAACGTCACACTTTTCCAGCGCGAGCCGCGACCGGGCTTTTTCCGCGGTCGCGCTTCGCGCTGAACACGCGACGGCAATAAATACACGGACGACGGTCTCGAGAGCCTTCGCCCGCACCCCGCTGAACAAATCTCAGCCGAGAGTCGCGAAGGCTCCGTTTGTTCCAAACTCGTCCGCAGCAGCGCGAAGGGTTAATCAGCGAAATGCACGAGCGGGCGAATCGTATCGTCTTCGCGCGCATGCGCGCCTCGCCCACGTGTGACACCTGGACTGCGCGTTCGGCGGAAAAAATATGAAAAATTGGACAAAGGCAGCACGCTTCGCATCGACGTTCCGTCTCTTGCCACGCGTATCCTCCCCTCCTCCACAACCCTTGCGAGTCTCCTTCTTTCCTTTTCGCCCCTCACCCCTCTACGCTTCTGCTTTCCCTCGGTCTCTCCCCGAAGGCGGAGACTTTTCCACACAAAAACACAGCGGTATCTTCTCTCGGTATTTTCCACCATGGAGCGGACGATTCGTACACGCCGGAGGATCCGCAGATCTTTTCGGTTTGGAAACTCGCCCGCCGTGCGCATGTCGCAGGATGCACGGATCACACGGCAGCGATGATCATCGCGAAGTACCGAAGGGGGTTAATCTTAAGAAATAAATTACTCTTAACATTCTCGAGTTACATGTCAAGGTTAACGGAAAGAAGAAGAAGAAGAAGAATAGAAAGAGAAAGAGAGAGTGAGAGCGGGAGGAGAGGATCGAGGGTCAAGCGAACGCGCCGAGCACAGACGCGGAATTCCTTCTCCTCCTCCCTCCTCCCTCCTTCTCCTGCCCTCCTGTCGTCAAATCGATAAAGCGTGCGCGGCTGAAAGGATCGCTCGCGATCGCATTCGCTCGGTGACGGCCTAATTAATTTGATTGAAGCTCGTATCTCGGCCGATCCTCCGCTCGCTCGTGATAGTTCGCCGAAGAGCGGCTCCAGGGTATCGCACTCTCCGAGGAAGCGCGTTATCGCGGCTATCGGCCGAATGATACAAAACGACGCCGCGTGTCGCGCTACGCCCGCATACGCACACACATATAGGCGTGACACTCATGCACGCACGCACGCACGCACGCACGCACGTACGAATGCACGCACCCGGTGAATTTCGCGGCGGTGCGTTACGCAACGTCCGCAGAGAGACGGCGAGCGGTGTAGAGAGAGCCTCGGACGATTCCGCGGCAAAGCACAATGCTCTTCTTATCGCGCGATCTTGCGGACTCGCGACGATACCTCAGGAGTGTCCGTAAGGGAATACGGAATGTAAGCCCCGTCTTTCTTACGCTAGAAATGCGACCTCCGCTGTAAGGTAAATGTCCCGGTAAAACCGCACGTTCGAGCGTAGATCGTCACCGAAAATACAATATATAATACTAAAGAATAGCTTTGATATAAATATTTGCATTTTACTCGAAAACTTAAGATTCCCTTAAGTAGAGAAAGATGATTTAAATCAATATGCACATCTATTATTAATGAAATATTTATACAAATAGTGGGGGCGCATTAATGTAGCAGTGAGCGAACAGTTGAAATAGGTTATGGTCCAATGTTCGAATATAATTTGTCCCAAATATAATCTGACCGCGATTAGAAAATTAGTATGTGCTAAACGGAAAATAATATAAATACAGATGCTATCTCTTGATGAATTTATTAACGATTAACCATTATTTTGCCAAACCATGGGTGCATACTTGTTTAATTAATTTTTACTTTAATACAAAAGTACCAAATTGAGTACATCTTTGTCCAACTAATCGTCAAATATTGGAGTTGTTTTGACGATAATTATTACTTTCGTTCATTATTGTTGAAATAAATATTTTTTTTCAAAGTGGTCGGATATAATGGGACGTGTCCGGCCATTGGGACGTTTACCTTACTCGTTCCTGCCGGTTTCGGTCGCGCCGGAGGAGCGCCGGGAAATTCCGAGGGGCGATTGACGCTTCAAGCATAGGCGATGTTTATCGACGAGTCCAAACGATCCCGACGTGTTCGACGTGTTTCGCAAACTCTCGCAATTTCGCGGCGGGCTCTCTTCGACTGCTCGAACGGTTTCGCTCCCGCGAAGCCTGCGAGTTTTGTCTCCGATCGATGAGAAAGCGGTGGTTGAAAGGAGGAGTCTCAACGACTAACGGAAATAATTCTCATAAAGTGCTGAGAAAAGTGCCACAATGCGACACGTTTCAGAAAACTTTACGATCAAAATTATAAAATATATAAATATATGTATATATTTATATATATATATATATAACATTTTATACACATATAAAAGAATAGTTTTTATAAAAGAAATATTTGTTTTTCATATAAAAGTTTTTAAAACGTCTTTAAAATAATTTTTCAAAGTTTTGCACATGTAATTTTCAACTGTTTTTGAAACATTTTTCGGTTTCTCCCCGATAAGTCGACGGTTACGTATTTTTATTGATGTTCGGCACGGCATCTAATTTTACACATCGCCCGTCTCTCTCCCGCCGATGCTCGCAAACAGCGCGTAGTCGCGCGATTTTTCTCCGTTCAGCCCGTGAGATACTTTCGTCCGTGAGTTCGCGCGCGCGCGGCGATCCGCTTCATCCACGTCGCTTGCAGTACAAAACGCGAGCGGAGGTAAAATTGCTTTATGTTTGCTGCTATTGCACGCTCTTCTTTCTCTCACGAGCCGCGCCGCGGCTTTGATCCTTCCGCTCGATTCCCTATCGATGTGATTTCTGGCCTAAAGCGTCCCAAAAGATACGCATTGCACAAAAGGGAAAAAGGACGAGTTATTGTCCTAGGGGAAAAAGAGCCGGGGGGACAACACTCGGTATCGTCGGCAAGAGGCAGAAAGCTCGGCGAAGGTCTCGTGTAGATTTTCGTATAGACCTCGCAGAAAATCGAGCCGAAGGATCGGACTCTGGTTACCTGGCGTCGCGGAAAGGCGCGGCGAGCGGATTTATTGCCGTTATCGCGATAACGCTTGTCAACCTGCGCGCACCGAGACTCCGCTCTCTCGGATTCCAAGAGGCCTGAGACGGGGAGAGACTCCTTGCACTAAAATTTATCATACGTGTATCTTACAAAGTACAAAGCTACGACGACAATCGGACCGAGCAGGGGGATGAAGGGCGTCCTCTCGGCGGCTGACCGTGCAGAAATAACTCTGCACGTTCGGCCCGAGAGCTTCCTCACAGAAAAATCGTGGAATGGGTGTAGGGAGGGGGAGGGGGGAGTTCTCAAATTTGAGGGCTTTCAAATTTTGAAAAAGATTTTTTCCGTAAAAAAGAGAAAAAAAAGAAAAGACGCTCTCGTCTGATTTGGATGAGAGAAACGCACTCGTGTGCTGTGTGTTTTGTGTGTGTGTGCGCGTGTATGTGCGCGTGTATACGTGTGCGGTTTCGCGCGAGTCGCAGCTCGGCATACCGGACAAGACTAGATGCACATATGACGAAACGGAGTCTTCACGCTGCGTCGTGGCGAACTCGGTCGCGCGGAGGGACCACACAACCGAACGAACAGGCGAGCAACGAACAAGGAGAACACGACCGACGGCGGCGATCGTCCTCGGCTTAGGAGCTACAGGGAAAGAGCTTCGGGGCATCCCGGAGAGTCCGTGCGTGCCGCAACCGGCGAATTCCTTTTGTCCTCTCTCTCTCTCTCTCTCTCTCTCTCTCTCGCCTTTTTATCGTCACGGATAAGAGACGCTGGCGACGGCGACGACGGCAGCGGCGGTCGACTCGGCCTTCGCGCCGTCGCCTGAAATTATCGCGACACACTTCGCGTAGTCCATCGTCGAATCGCGACCGCGACCGCGAAATTATCATCGAAACGGCCGCGCTTTCGAAGCACTGCCGGCCGGCCGGCCGGCCGATTAGTCGGATATTTCGCGAGCCGAGGCAATCGCGATTAGTCGTTCGGATATTTCACAAGGCTGCCGCACGCACGACGCGACCGATCGGCCGTAATTATGCGCCATTATCACGAAACCAGAATGCTCCATGTGCCTCGATAATCACGCGTAATCGCGCCGATCGCGCGACACGCGCCGTGTTTCTTATCGCGCGTGCGATCCTCCGATGACAAGTTCAACGAGAGCCGCCCTCTCTCTCTCTCTCTCTCTCTCTCTCGCTCTCTTTTTCCCTCCCGGAGATCCTCTACTCTACTTGTGTGTATGTGAGTGTGTACAGCTTTAATAGCGCTACTTTCTGCCTTCTTCTTCCTTTTCAAAAGCGGACTTTCAAAACGAGGCTGCCACTTCGATCGGCCCGACGGGGGGTCGTTGGCGGGACGGCGAAGAGACACGTCGGATGAAAAATCGAAGAAACGGACGAGACGAGTTAGTTAGGTCGGCTGCATGGGCGAGACGTATAGTGAACGCGCGTCTTCCGCTTTATACCTCTTCCAAAATAGACCCGACATACAGACATCTCCCTTCTCTCCCCTTTTCTCTCTCTCTCTCTCTCTCTCTCTCTCTCTCTCTCACTCCGCGGTTGTCCCGTCGATCAATCGGTTCGCAGAAACGATCTCCGTTGCGCGCGATTATATTATGCAATTTTGTCTCTCTATAAATCTCAGTGATTGTTTCCTTCTACCCATCTCTGGGTTTAAAATACATTTATTTTATACACTATATATATATATATAATAATTGAATATTTTAATATATATTAATCTCTCTTCGCTCTTTGTCATTCATCTTCCCTCTCTCCCCCCCCTTTCTCTCATCACCTCCCCCTCGGCTTCTCGCGCATTTCGTACTAGCGACGAAACGGTTTTATCACAGTAAACTTCTCTTCGCAAGTCCCGTCTTCGTGGCGGCTTCGTTTGTGAGAAAAATGAAAAAAGGAAAAATAAAAGAAAAAGAAACACGCGCTCTGTGAAACTGGCGCGATCGCTTTTTCTCGCGCTGCTTCTTCCTTCTTCCTTGTCGGACGAGTCGAACATCTCGCAGAACACGCGTCACTATAACGAACCGCCCTGATGCTGACGTTTCTCTTTTGTTTCTGTCCTTTTTTCTTTTGCAAAACTATAGTATGCAGCACCGCGCATACTCCTGCTCAGGATCGTGTCGAGGATTCGTCGATTTTATTCGTGCGAGCACCAAGCTAGCGGAATGGACCCGAGTCTTTCGACGCTCGCGAAAAATGCGGCGCGACGATGCAAGGCAAAACGTGATCTCTCCTGGTTTGATTGCGCTTATCACAAGTAGTGCGCGTGCGCGCGCGCGCGGTTCCCGCCGACGTAAATCGCGCCTCGGTGTACTCTGCCCCTTCTCCCCCCTGGATTGTTCCATATAAAACGCACGTCGTATCCCCGTCCGGGCCGAGCTAATCTCGAAAGAAGAGCGATAACAAACGTGATCGCCGTGGTCGATACATTGTAAAAACGACAATGCGCACAGTGCGACGGACGAGTGATCTGAAGGGAAGCACAACCCTGAGCAACATTTTGCGCTTGAGCCGACGCGATTCCTTCGTCGGAAGTTTCCAGAATAAATATGGCCACAAATTCACATCGCGTTATTTACAACTGCTCGAGAAAGATTCGAGAGCGTTCACGTCTGATCCGCATTGAAAAGTCAACCTCTGTAAAAATATAGAAAACTTCGATATCCACGCGGTTGATCCTTGCAGAAGGAGTCCGCGTGAAGCGAGAATTCATCACGCTTCGGAAGTAATGCTATCAACATATTTTGACAACCGTGACATTATATGGCAACTGTTGTCGCGTCAAGATTCAACAGCGCCAACCCTGCAACTTCTGCGGCGTTGGTGCCAAACAATAATACCAGTCGCTGCGATTGCACGAGGCAAATAATCAACATTGAATTGCGATTAACGGTCGGTACCGGACTCTGCAAGGATCGAGTCACTTCCCTTCAGACTGATCCACCTGCACGGCGCGTCGCAACGTTGTACAAGATATTCACTTTTACAGATCGCGCATACGATAAGAACCCAAGTACAGCCACTCCTCCGTCCCCCCCTTCTCCTCCAGCGTGAAACGGATCCGGCGGTGAGACCCCGGTCGGTGTCGCATGGGCCTTGCGCAAAATTTAGTCACCGCGAAATCCGAGAAACACCTCGTGAGAGGAGGAGTAGCTGTAAAGGTACGGTTAGCTGTGTTAACGAAGCGTTTCTTCTGTTTTACCAAAGTTGCAGTTAGGTCGCACGCAAAGTGAACGTCTCGTGGCGTCAGGGTGCGTTCGGCGCCGCCGAAAGAAAACCGAAATACGCCCAAGCGTGGGGCGGCATTTGTCCTGCTCCTTCAGCGAGACAAGAAAAGCCGTAGCGGCGCGCGTCGCCGTGGGAAAAAAGCTCGATGGCTTACAAATGGCCGATGCCGACAATTTACAAAACAACCGGGCGATGGACGTCGCCCGAGCAAAGGTCCAAGGTACAAAACGAACAAGTCGTGCGAGGCGTGTCGTGAAAACGAGACTACGAGTCGCTCGACGACAATCGGAAGAAGAGCCTGAAGAGAGCTCCAGCCTCCGTAGATTCGAATCTCCCGCCGACACTCTGGCGTTCTCCAAAATGGCCGCCGCGCTGCTCTCCCCTCTCGCGCTCGCTCGCTCTATCTATCTCTCTTTCTCTCTCTCTCGCACACACGCATATTCTCTTTCTCACACGCACACGCACACACATACACACATGCACATTCGCCCATCGCGACGGTGCGCGTACAGTTCCTCACATGCGTGCACGCCCGTCGCATCCTTTAGCACGTTACACGAAGGCACTCCTTCCTCTCCTCCTCCACCTCGACCATCATCACCTCCTCCTCGTCGTCGTACTCCACCTCCTGCTCCGCCTGTTCGCTGCTGCTCCTACCGTCGTCGTCGTCGTCTCCTCCTGGTCGCGTCACAAAAGAACTTACAGAAAAAACTGCGAGTCGACTCCTTCCCTCCCTCTCTTCCTCTCGTCCTAGTGAAAGCTTCCTCTTCCTCCGAGGATGCAGGACACCGAGACGTCACAGGAGTGATTCCAACGACGACACCAACGGGCGAAGACGAACTTCTTTCGGAACTGTCGAGTCCTTCTTAGTCGCAGGTAGGAAGGATCCGCTCCAAGGAAGGACTTCCTCGTCTTCCACATTCGCCAAGCGGAATTGAAAGCACACAGTATGAGCGGCAGCTTATGGCAAAAGTTGCTGTTTCTTCCCTTGCGAATCAATCCTCGACTACGCAGGACGAGGACATGATGGAGAGAGCCAGTCGCGGAGCAGCCCCGGGTGTGCCTCTCTCTTTCTCTCTCTTTTTCTCTCTCTCTCAAGTCGTAGCGGCCGCTGCCGTCCCGAAGGCCGGGAGAAAGAGAGTGAGAGAGCTTCAGAACTGCTGGCTGCCGTGTTCGTTGATCATGATCGCGCAGCCAGAGTGCACGTGGTCCATGACCTGTTCCTTCAGCCGGCACACGTGCTCCTTAAGCCTGACCACGACCGCTGAGAGCTCGTGGTTCTCGCCCTTCAGCACCTTGACCTTGTCCTCGAGCCTGGAGATGCGCTCGAGCTTGCGCCGCCGGCACTTGGAGGCGGCCACGCGGTTCCTCTGGCGCTTCCTCTCCAGCTTGATTTTCTCCTGGTTCTCCATGTCGATCGGCGACATCGGCGGCGAGCTCGACACGCTCGGCACCGTTTGCGGCTCGTCCTTCACATGCAACAGGCCGCCCTGGCTCATGGTGCTCGAGTCCGTACTGGTCTGCACGCTGCCGGGTGGCTCCAGGGTGGTGTAGGTCGCGCCATGAATACTGCCCGGCTCCTGCGAGCTGTCAGAGTGATGGAGCTCGTTGAGCGCGTCGACGAAGCCACGCGCGTACAGCTCCTGCGCCTCGGTCACGGTCTTAGGGAACAGTATCTGCGTGGTCGGGGTGGGCAGGCTAGTGACCAGGTTGTCTTGCTGCGCCATGATGAGCTTCTCCAGCTCGGGCGAGCCGAGCTTCAGCATATTGAGGTCCGGCGAGGCGAGGATCGGCGTGACGCTGTTGAGCGTCGGTGGCAACGGGCCCAGCCGCGGCCTCTTCGCCTGCGGGCCCTGCCTCTGGCAGCCGTTTAGGTCGAGCGTGAGGTTACGCTTCAGCTGGCCCACGTTGTTCTCCCGATTCATCGCTCCGTAGGCGTTCGCGTCCTCGTAGAACGTCTGCTCCATCGCCAGGCTGCGAACCATCGATGCCGCCGGACTGGTTACCCGCCGCTCGATGGAATACCACGGAGATGGCTTGTCTCGCTCCTGCTGCCGCTGCTGCGCTACGCTGCCGATGCTGATACTGAGATGCTGCTAGCCGTCGGCGAGTCGAGCCGACGAGCGGCTTCCTCGGGTTTTTCCCCGCTCGGCGAGGTTCTGCTTTTGCCGGACTTGTGATTCCTCGCACTCGAGGACCCCAACGAGTCAAAGCGCAAGACTCGAGTCGTGCGTCTTTCCTCTTTTTCCGTTTCTCTCTCTCTCTCTCTCTCTCTCTCTCTCCTCTCTCTCTCTCTCTCTCCAACCGACTATCTGCTACGTCGCGTACAAACACACTTTGCTCCGCGTCACGGCGCGATTACATAACCATGCGCGCGCGCGCGCGCGAGCGAGCGACTGTGCGCAAAAATCCAACTGCGATGACTGTCTTATTTCACGCGCACGCTGCCCGTCTATCTCTCTTTCTTTCTCTCTCTCTCTCTCTCTCTCTCTCTCTGTCTCTCTCTCTCTCACTGACACGTCGTTCCGCGATGCACGTTGTGCACCTCGCACCCACAGTAGCTGACGAGAACACTTTGCGAACAGCGACGCGTAAATGCTCCGTCGCCGTTGACCGCGATCGGCCGAGGCGCAAGAGAGACACGTTGCGCGACGCGGCGTTCACCGATACTCCGCGTTAAAAAAGCGAGCGACTCCGCGCGCGCGCGCACAGTGCGTATCGCGTTCTCGCACGAGGGGACCACAGCCCGCTTCGACTGTCAACACAACAATGACTCACGACGACGTGACGGACCGCGGTGTGGTGTGCGCGTGTGCCGTCCTCTCTCTCTCTCTCTCTCTCACTCAAGGGTGTGCACGGAGAACGCGGACAACACCGCGACGTTGCGTGAGCGAGCGTTCGACCGCACGGTTGGGTGTCTCGACAACTTGTGAATATCCAACTAAACGTACTGCCTTATATCCCGTGACTCACGTCGTCCGAAAATAACCACGTCGTCACGGAGCGCGCCGCTGATTGGCCGGCGGTGGCGCAACGGGCCGCCCGCCATTGGCCGGCCGATCCGCGCTACTAGGAAATGGTCGGCGCACGCGCACCGCCGGACGTCCGCGCCGGTACCGAGGGTTAAGGGGCGATCCCACCGAGAGAGCGACCCGGGTCGCCCTGGCACGGGAGCTGTCACGAGCGTCGGGCGACGTGGAGCGTCGGTCTCGAGCGAGTCGCGTTGCCGACGAGACCGGTGAAATGGCCGTCACGGCCGAACACGCGCCTCCACGAGGCTCGCCGAGGGAGCCGCTCGCCGCCGGTGGGAACGAGGTCTTACGTTCGTTATCTCGCTTCAACGCGAATGCAGATCCGCCGGCATCTCCCTTCGTCGCGCGCTCGCGCCTTCGCACGGGCGAACGGGTCCGTGCGCGTTTCGTGCGCGCCTGAGCGAGTCGAAAACGCTTTTCGAAAATCGTCCTATCGCACAACGCGCCGGCCAATAAACGAATTAACGGGACACGCGCGTGTCTGTGCTGCGACGCACGTCGCGTCTCTTGATCCTTTCCTGATGTTTTTTTTCTCCGCATCTGCAAACTGCGTGAGACCTCACGAGCGCGTATTTTTCAAAGTTTCGCGGACATTGACCGAGTGACACCTTTGCCTAAAAAATGGCGATCGCGCTCATACATCTAAGATGTGAAACCTGCTGTATCGAACACACACACATACACTCATACGTGGACATGTATATTAATTACGCACATTAAGGGCTGGCTTCGCCACGTACATTTCCGCTGGCGAATCGGCTGTCCCTCCGACAGGGTACTCTCGAGCTGGAAATTGCTATTCAATCACACCACTTGTTACATTGTCGATACCAATCACGTGGAAGCGTATCGCTGAACACTAATCTTGTTCCATGTTATCGCATATCCGCTGCATAACTTCCGTAAGTGACGCATTTTATGCAACTGTATCTGTGAAACGTCGAACGACTTCCAGGGCGCGCAATCGAAGCGTCATTATGGATGCCGATTTTAAATCGATTTAATCGAAGATCGATTAATCGGTGCCTAAAAGGTTGATTTCAAATTGATTTTCTGGAACTGAATGGATTCAAGGATCGATCTGTAAATTCTGAAAATCGGCAATACGATTTTTTCAGTTTCCCTACTAGTAATATAGTTTTTTTTTAATTCTTTTTAGTTGTAATATTTGAACTTACTTAATGGCTGCACGATGCGCATTACGTTACCTTCAGGCCGATGTCCCACGGGCGAAAATTTTCAGCGGAATGGAACGCGCGAACCAATCACAGCCACTCCATATAATAGTATATATTATATACATATGTATATGCATATAATAGTAAACGTGATTTTTTATTTAATAACGTTTAAAAACCCTTGATGTTTAATCAAACTAATGAAATCCTTAGCATAAAGATTTAAAAATCTTTTTCTATCTTGTTGTGGCCACATACAATACAACCAAAAGAGTACCATCTGTTTAATTTCTTTAATTCATATTAAACTTTATATGAATTACACGAGGTCTACTTTAGAGTGTAGAAATTTGACAGATAGTATACTTTAATGAGTGGTTCACTTTACATGCATACCGATTCAAATCGATTTTCTGAAATCGATTATTTACAAACCGATTTTTTAAAGATCTATTTTTTTCTTCATGATTCGGGTCGATCTTTAAATCGACTGTTTGAAAAACAAATCGGCATCCCTAAACGTCATTATCATTCCCGGTTAATTGAAGCGAGCGCGTTTCACATATCGAAATGGAGCAGGTCACTCTCGTTTGTCGCGGGTGTATTATTAGGGCTTTCGACGGAAGCGAAAGTCGATTCCGCGCGCTCGCTTCCGTCGTAAAGGAGCGCGCGCGATAAGTGCGCCGCAGGACATCATCGCACGCGCGTTAATCCTGCCGAATTTGGCGCGCTCTCGCAAACGCGCGAATAAGTGCTCGCCACTCGTAAAGCCCATATCAGACTATGGATTGGGATTGAAATTAGATTGAAATTTGACCAATTGGAAAAAAGAAAATAATCTGAAATATAGTAAACTTAGCCCTGATTGGTTAAATTTCAATCTAATACTCAATACTCCAATACTCAATCCCAGTCCATAGTCTGACATGGGTTTTACCTCGTGATTTCGAACCATTCTGATGATTCGATTCTTTCGATCCTTCCACGACGAGCGGCTCGACCGAGAATTAATTAGGTTATTAAGTATGAAATGTCCGATTTCGAATCAAAAGTTTGGTTTATTACATCTCAAATGGTCTAGAATCAAGTCTTAAATGATCCTAAATGGTCAATCTAGAAATGGTTTAATTAATCTAAGTATGTGCCTAAACTGTCGACACAGTTTTGCCATCTTAACGGCAGCTGGTTTATGCCAGCAGCGAAGAAGCCCGAAAAGCGGGTGACGATGAAATCGCGGGAGGCGTTTTCCACAGTTTCTTGAGAATCGAATATTTTTCCTTGCAAGAAGTAGCCCAGTGCCTGGAAGAAGTGGTAGTCAGTTGGTGCAAGGTCTGGTGAATACAGTGGGTGACGGAGAGTTTCCAAGTCCAGCTCCTGTAGTTTGAACAGCGTTGCTCAAATTACAGCGCAAGCATCCTCATCATTTCGTCCAGTTGCTTACTGTAGACACTCGCTGTAATCGATTGACCAGGTTTCATGAAGCTGTAGTGGATAATACCAGCGCTGGACCATCAAACAGACACCAACAGCTTTTTGTGGTGAATATTCGGATTGTATTTGAGATGTAATAAATCATTTGAGATGTAATAAATCAAACTTTTGATTCGAAATCGGACATTTCATACTTAATAACCTAATTAATTCTTGGTCGAGCCGCTCGTCGTGGAAGGATCGAAACGATCGAATTATCAGAATGGTTCGAAATCACGAGGTAAAACCCGTATCAGACTATGGACTGGGATTGAGTATTGGAGTATTGAGTATTGGATTGAAATTTAACCAATCAGGGCTGACTTTACTATATTTGAGATTATCTTCTTTTTTCCAATTGGTCAAATTTCAATCCAATCTCAATCCCAATCCATAGATTTGTGATGAATAACGGTTTCAGACTGTGTTTCGGCATTTCATCTTTATCCTACCATTGTGCCGGACGCAGTGCCGGAGAAAATCGGACATTTCATATTTAACGACCTAATAAATTTCACACAGGACGAGTGAGTTCGATACCTGGGAGTGTTTTTTCGAACGCTCTTATGTTTTATTACCTTGCGGTGACATTTACCGAGAGGAATCACTCGGCGGTTTCGCACGGTTATCGTCGTCCAAACTTTTTCCGAGAATGTCTCAATGTTGTTACGAAGGTGCGCACGAATATGTGCGTGCGTGCCCGTGTATGTGTGTGTGTGTGTGTGTGTGTAGCGTGTGTAGCATGCGACTTTATTTCTGGATGATTAATCTATTAAAGAATTATATACCGAGAAAAAGAAGATGCCGTATTATTTAGGACCTATCAACAACATCGTACACGCATATTCTTCGCTAATTATTATTTTGTACACCCAAGAAAAAAGTAATTTCAGAATATTTGACCAAATATAAGTAAATCATCTTCGTTATATGTTACAGCGACATGCTTCTTTTTTTTAAAAGGGTTCTAAATATTCTGACCCATGAGCATATGGTTATTTTTTCGTTCATGTCTGGAGGTAGAGCATGACTGAACAAACAAAGCCAACATTCAAAGCCAACATCAACATATTCCTTTCCATATAAGAGAAAAATTAATCGATATAAGAGGAAATCCCCTTGAAATAAGAGCAAAACAGTTAGAATAATATCTAATACGTTTTAGATGAATTATTCATTTTAATCGCTTTATCGAAAGAGGAATCCTTTTTCTATAAAAGGCTTCGCTCAGAGAATATGAGACTACGGGAAAAGTCACTTTACAAATAGAATACTTTTTTTTGGATATATCTATGATTCATTTCTTTTCTTTTCACGGCTGCTCAAAGTAACTGTTTTCGCGTGGAATACTTCAAATTATTCCAACTCATAGCTGACCTTAATTTAAATTCACACAATTCCGCACATTATGATTCTCGTTCTCTCTCTCTCTCTCTCTCTCTCTCTCTCTCTCTCTCTCTCTCTCTCTCTCTCTCTCTCTGTCTCTCTCTCTCTATTGTTGGCAATATAGCGCAGTCATACGCGCCTAGACGGCGGCATTTGCACAACGCGCGTTTAACGATTGCGAAATTATTTGAATTGCAGGTGACCTGCACAATTTAATGCTAAACTCACGCGCGCATCCAATACATGCGTCACTTATTTTCTTTAAGCTGTATTCACGTGTCTCTCAAAGTCCGCGGATGGCAAGGAGTTAAAGGTTACTGAAAAGCATTATGAGTTGTTGTTCTCTTAACATATATTGAAATGGCTTACATAATCTATTCTTTTTAATATGTTGCTTCGAATATTTCAGCTTTTCATCGCAGAGTATTGTTGCAAAAACACGCTCAGCCGCGAAGCGCGGGGTTTGTGCTTATGAGACGAGAAAATTTGACACGTGGTGATGAAAAATAATTTCCGGCACGACCACTTTTTAGGAACCTATCCACTACGACGCTCATCAATAGCGTTTCTTAAAGAAGCACTCTGCGTTTTCTCTCTTATTTCCAAATGTAAAATATATTTTATTTCCAAATACTTTTGTTACGAAATACGCGGTGACGGATACATTTTTTCACGAGATACACGTCGCGTCGTGTCTTATCTTAATTATACGCCCGGCACGAGAGACTTATTTAGATAAGAGGCACACTCGTTCCCGCACAGAAACTACAAGAAGTAGAGGAATAATTATACATCGGTGCGTGATGAGCAAAAAATAAAGAGACGTGCTTTTCTGCTGCCACTGTGGATCTTGGCAGCGGCATCCTGTCGATCCTCCGAGAAACCCCGAAGAGAGAACTTCGAACCGCGCCTCGAACGCGACGGAGGAAACTTCATCGCCGTATTTTTTCGTGCGGACAACTCGCGTCGCCTTGCGCACGCATCGCACGATCCGGGAGATCTCGAAGATCTCACGAAGAATCGATATCCGGTAGCCAGCTGGTGCAAGCAACGCACCATGTTGCAACATGATCGACGTCGATTTCAGGCAACGCATGCCAATGCGGGCGCAACGATCTACGGTTTGCGTCGCGCCGCGCTGTGACGTAAGGATCGATCGTGTCGCGGAAGGGTATCCTTCCGCGGTGTATCGCGTTGCGTTTTTCACGAAGCAGCTTCGGGAATTAAAGCGCGATGCGCACGTGGTCTCATTTGCACCGAGCTGCAATCCGAGCCGCGTCTCCGAGATTCGTCTCGATATTAATTCATCGTCGGAGGACGTGCCTGAGGACGTATCCGTTTCTCGTTCGATGCAATTCTCGAAGAGAGCAAGGCGTTCCAAAATCTCTTTCGCGAGATAGATAGGAGGAATGTTATAACGGTCGACCGAGCAAAGTTCCGATCGCCTTTTGCAGATTGGAAGCTGACCGATCGCGTTGTCCTTGCACGATACATTCCTAAATCGAGGCGCTAAATCGAAAACAGGACACGCCGATAAAAGAGAAGAAACACTCAAAAAATGTATTCTATTTGTAAAGTGATCTTTCTCAGAGTCTCATATTCGAAGCGAAGCCTTTTACAGAAAAAGGATTCCTCTTTCGATAAAATATGGTTATAGTGAACCATTCGTCTAAAATTTATTAGATATTATTCCAACTGTTTTCCTCTTATTTCAAAAGGATTTCCTCTTATATCAATTAATTTTCCTCTTATACGAAGCGGAATATGTTGATTTGAACGTCAACTTCTTTTGTTCAGTCTACCTCCAGACATGAACGAAAAAATAACCATATGCTCGTGGGTCAGAATATTTGGAACACTTTTTAAAAATGATCAAATACAGTTTATAATCTATTGCATATTTGGTCAAATACAGTTTATAATCTATTGCAAGAGGTTGAATAATATATTCTTTCTTTCAACTATGTTTCATACAATCGATTATGATGAACATCTTTGTAGCTATATGAAGCCTATAACAAAACTGATTTGAAATTTGTTTGTTATGATGATCTTACTTCATTCGTGCCTATTTATTGTAGAACTGCAGCCAGAAGTGCATCTATACATATGTTACTTTTCGCTATACATTATAATAACTTTTTCAAATTAACTAGTACAACCAGTAAAAATAAGTACAGTAAGAATAAATAATAATCCTCTGAAAAAAAATATTAAATGACCTGTATATAAGAGGGAGTTTATGTTAAAATCAATAACATTTGCATTATACATAACTTTAAGAATAATGTGTTTATAATATTTTCCTCTTAATCTTAGAGGAATCCTCTTGAGGCCACGTATAAGAATAAAATCCTCCAAGATTTAGATGATTCCGCTTGTTCTTTTTTTTTTTTTACGTTAAGCTTGAATATTGTTGAAATCGCAGCTGACGATAAGCCGGTCTGTTTACACACGCCGGGCTCCTCCCCGCCTTCGCCGTCCTCGGTTCGCCCCGGCACGGCGCGGCCGACGAAAATCGGCCGACGGGCGCCGCCGCCGCCGCCGCCGCCGCCGTTGGCGCGCTGGGCGAGGCAGCAGCTTTTTTCATCTCGAAATTAAACAAACATAATTAATTCCCGCCCTCGCGCCGCGCTCTCGCGTGGAAGCGCGCGGAAGGTTAAATCCATTACATACATAATACACCAGGCTGCTCGCTCGCGAGACTGGAGGCCAAGCCTTTTTATTTGCGCACGAAAGCCGCCCGCCGCCGCCGCCGTTTCCGACGGCGATCAATCATTTCGCGAGCCGAGTGGAAACACCGAGTGTGTTTCACCTCACAGCGCGTCGCGCGGCCGCTCGTCGCTGGCCTCCCGAAACAATTCAACGATCCGGTGGCCGGCGATCGACGGAGGAGCAGAGAGGCTCCCGAGTGTCCTTCGTACCGACAGCTTAGTACCTTGAAGAACGTTTCCGCCGCCTGCTCGTCCGGCTCGTCGAGTGAACGACGCAACGTTTTGCCCGATCCCACCGGCTAGACGAAACTCGAGAGAAATTCCGACATTTGTGTACAGTATGTGTGTGTAATAAAAGCTTGAGCAGCGCGATTGGCGAATATACATTGCTCTGCAAGAAACGCCGAGTGTGCGAGGTTGAAGCAAGGACCGCGGAGCGAGCGGCTTTGCGGAGGCTAATTAATTGGTGTATATTAAGACCCCTTCAGGACAAAAGTTGCAGCAACATTGCAATGTTGCAGCAATGTTGCTGTAACTTTTGTGTTGTATGGGAAGCTTGGACTGTTAAATCTTGCTGCACGAGCAGCGTTCGGCTCTCGCATTACACGTCGACTCCGTCCTCTTACATTCTGATTGAGAAACAAATTACAATTACAGTTAAAACGAAGATAAATGCGTGCCGGGTGGAAATCACGGATAACGTAAGATCGATAAAAACGTGAAACGTGGAGAGCAAAGTGCAGCATTCAACGCGGCGGAAATGCCTCCTACGGTCATCTAGTGCAGCCTCTCACAAGCATAAGACAAGTATCTACGTGCGATAATGGAGTAATGTTTACATTATCAGATAACGATAAAAAGTGGTGAGATAACTCAAAGGTAACGTTCGAGTCAAATTGACCTTTGAACGCGAAAATATTAATACTTGGCTCTCTAAATACAAATTCTATTACAAATTCTCTAAAGGATGAATATCCACAGTTAAAATACTCTTCACGACACTGTCAACGATAACGAGTCAGCTATTAAAAGCCATTAATATACTTCCGTGGTTACGGAAGAGAGATACCAGGACGATTGAACAATGTTGACGTTACCAACTGTTTAACCATTCGAGATAAATAGCTTTTTTTAGAGCGGGTACCTTTCTCAAAAATGTACGATGAGTGAATGACGTTGTATTTATAACGGACATTGGCATCGTAGTTCGTGTGCACGGTTGTACAGAGAGCGCTTCGCACTTGGCTCTGCTAAAAGCAGCTCATGATCTTTCTCCTTCTCTCTGTCTATAAGTTTAATAATTATAACAAATTATTAACACGAGAGTATTACGAATAATTTTAAGATACACTGAACATGAAATTACCAACAAGATAGTATTTCTTCTTCTACGTTTCACGCGTATATACACTCACAATTATAGAATGTGATGGAGTCGTGAACGGAAAATACAAAAAATGGAAGAGACACATTTTCTGCACAATTCCACTGACAAGATTTATTGAAATAATCCTGGCGAGATACAAAAGAAAAATATACAAATTAATACTGTCGAAGGAAGATATTTCCGGTCGAGTTTTGTATGGGCGTGTATCGATGACCGGAAGTTAGCGATACGAAAGCTAGTCATAAATATATACGATCTGCCTACGGAAGTAGCGTATCAGGGCAACGGAATATTCGAGATCCTCCCTGAGAGACTATCAAAACAATTGAATTGAATGTACTATGTAACCGATTAAATATATATAAATATCATTAATTCTAACATCTTACGACTATGTGAATAATTCATGTATGCTGCATATTTATTCGTATTATTGTAATAAAAGTATATAAAAGGAAATATTATGTGTAACATATTATTTAAAATGAGGAATATTCACTTTTTTTTTCATGGTCGTCCATATAGATTTTCTCAGCGATCTCGCCTCAACTTCCTGAAAAGAAGAAAATGCAACATTTAGTGCCTACGATACATTTTTACTGACATCTGCGCATTTCTCTCAGATGAATATCTTCCCAGTTAGAATCCATCTGGATCATATGAAAATAGTAAAAAATAAGAAATTTCACTAAATATGTTTCATTTTGTATCCAACGCAAGGAAAATTCATCAGATCAATTATGTTCGGTTTTTTCTCTCTTTTTTTTTTTATATATAGCAAATGTGAAGTCATTAAAACAGAGAAAAGTTTGGCTATAAATTTCAGTTAAATTCTATTCAATTCAGTGCCAAGAACCAACAATTCTATATATTTCTTTTTGTGAGCAAAATACATTTGATTCGTTCACTTTCACGTTGAATCGTACTCACGTTCTCAAACTGGGTTCTTTGAGTTCTATGATTGCCCTTCTTCGTCTAGGTCGCTCGGAAGCATAGCTATTGTTTTTAGAATCTTGTGTGTTCCCGTCCTGGTTGGACACAGCATCGCTTCTGCAAATTCAAAATGTCGAAGATGAGACGTTGTCAGAACTTGCGAGAAAAGAAGAGAGTTTATTCCCGTGTACAAACCGCGCGAAATCATTAAGATTTGTTTATATATATATATATATATATATTATATATACGTACGAATAACCATTATTGCTTTGAGATGTATCGTCGGGCGATGGCGTCCTCGGCTTAACGTTCGATTCATGGAGCTTCTCCAATACAACTTTCGCCGCGCTCGGATCGTGATTGTTGTTCTTCACTTTCTTCTGCTTTGTCTTCTTGTTAACCGTCGCGAGACTTTCAATGTGATTTGCGTTATCTTTCGGGCTGGGCGACTTTGTCCTCTTACTCTTCTGACTCGAATTGCCTTTACCCTTCTCCGGTGTCGAAACTCTATCATGATCGTCAACTAGAACTAACGGCAGTTTTATCGTGGTGGTAGAGTCGATCTCCGGTTCGTTCGCGTTCTGACTCGACATGGACGGCAACCGAAAGTTCGTTATTCTTTGTATCGCGGTGGTCACCTCGCTTTCGATATCGTTGGCGATAGTAGGGTTTATCACGGAGCCCTCTAAGACGGGCAGTCGCAACTCGTTGATATCAAAATTCATATTTCGCATCGGTCGACGCGGCATCATCAACGTGAAATCATCCGTCTCCTCGGTAATCGACGAATTGCCGCGCCTCATTGTGATAAAACGTGCTAGGTTCGTCGTATTGTCGTCCTCTTCGTTGTTGAAATGTCTCTCGTGGTCGAATGCTATTGCCGTTGGAAGCACCGTGCAGTAAGTCTCGTCCATAGCGCCCCCATCAGGAGAGTGATTATCCCGGATACAATTAGCGGCGAATGATCCTTTGTTTAAAGTTTCTGCGTCGGTCAAGGCTGGCATTGGTAACTCGTCTTCCGTGTCTTCTGCGTCGCTCGATTCATCAGCATACGCCATTGCTGCCTTTGAACTGCTCTGAGTTGCACGTCTGTCAGCAACCGTCGAATGATCCAATTCTGTCGCGTTGTCGTCCGATATGGCTATGTTGTCTAGTAACCAGCTTGGACCCTCCATCGGGTCTTCCCAAGAATCGGCATTGTTCTGTGATAGTTTCGAATGTTTCGACACGTTCGAATTCCTGTTCCAATCCTTTTCGGCGTTCTTTCCTTTCGTTTGTGCATGAGAATGGCTCGGTATTTGTGCATGATCTTCATCCACATCGTCTAAATTAATGGACAATTGCGTTTCGGGTATTACGTCTCTATTCGATGTACTGTGGGGCCCGTCGTCGCTACTCTCTTGCATCTCAACGTCATCGAACTTGTTGTCATCGAGCAGCTGTAGAAACAATGATGTACTGATAGTACCCGATATCTCTGACTGACATAAATATCAGTATTGAATAAAGATATTTGTAGAGAATATTAATATCAAACATTGACCAGTGTGTAGTATTATTGACTATACGTTAAAATCTCTTTTATATACACGTGTGAACAAAATGCTAACCGTCCTGATGTTGATGCTTTGAGAATTTTGCAGTAACTTGGAAACATCATTAAGCTTCACTGTGAGACTGCTCATTTGAGTATATTCCGCACTATTTCGTGCATTCTCATCGGACCATCCAGATCTCGATCGTGAGAGCGATTCCGACATTCTCTTCGAACGGCTCTTTTTCTTCCTTATTCTCTGCTCGTTACTCTCTGCAATTATATTCGTATGTAGGTAATCATGTTAATTAAGAAATAACAAATAAGAAACTAAATGCAGACTAATATTTGCAATTTGTCATACTTTTTACTCTAGGTGAAGGAACAGCCAGTCTCTCTGGCAATCTGCATGCGTGACCACTTTCCTGAAATAATTACTGTTCATAAAAAGTTTTCATTCGTTTCCTAATTTACATAATACAATATGACATGAGAAACATAAAATTCCACATATCAATACACATACATATCTGCGCAGTTGTATGATAGGTATGGAAACAGCGATTGGTGATCTAGCTTCACTCATATCCTGACTCCTGTCAGGTGTGGCTACTTCTTGTATGTCGCTCAGCCTCGCCGTATTATTAATATTCTGCATGTTAACTCGGCTCAAGTTAATTGTAGGTTTCGTAATAGTATGGCCGCTTACCATAGGCTTAACCACACCCCTTGCTGGCGATTTAGTCGATAGCCTTCTAGAAGATTCTTTCCCTGAAACACTTGAGTGTAAAAATAAAGTATTATGAAATAACTTACAATATTACCAACAATATGATATCAATGGATATCAATTAAATATTTCGAGGAAGTCTTGTAACCAATTATATTGCTATTTGTATCCCTTACTTCCTGCTGAAGCAGATGACAGTCTTAAGTCAGTACTGGAAGCAGAGAACTCTTGACAAATAGAAATAGTATTTGTCATGTAACCAGACATAGTGACCAACATTTTCAGCATTTCTTTGGCATTATTTAGTACATTAGAAATCACATTCTGAAATAGATAATGATGGTAATGTATATGTATGTGCTTTTCTTTTGTAATTTTACTCATCGACTATGCTTACATCTCTTGATGTACATGCTAAACGTAAGTCTTGCACTTCTGCTATTAGAGCAAGATTTTGCGAGAACAACGACTGACAATTCTGCTTCTCTTCTGAAAGTGCCTTAGCCAGGTAGCTGTTGTTGTTCTTTAACTTTTCATACACTACAAAAATTTGCAAAAGTTGATTACTGTAGCAATCACTAAAAGTAATAAATACACACAATGTAACAAAATCAAATACAAATAAATTATAAAAGATAAACTCACAGGGTCTATATGATCGGTCCTTGCGATACTTCTTCAAATATTGCGTTCGTTTAGTGAGCACAGTGGCTCTTCTAGCTTTGCGATGTATCGGAATTTGCGGCATATTGTAATTATTATTTAACACTTCAAGTAGTACACTTGCATATCGTGCATACAAACAAACACATGTAATACATACAAAAAAACAATCAGATTTGATGGTTTATCTGTTTCAACTTAATCTCTAATAAATTTATCATTCATCTTGATTTTCGTCTTATGGAGTTATTATACGATAAAATAACCGTTTATTATAGCACTTCAATAGTACGATTAATGTTATAATTAACGATGAGTGATATAAATATATTTTAACGTATAGTCGTTCGACATCTTTTTATCCTTTTAATTCTAACCAACGAAACATCTGTGTAATATTTCCACATGTGAGAAATGTTTAGAAATTTTTACTTGGACAACGTTGAATTTTTTGGGAACGTTTTATCACACTTCTCTGTTATTCCGCCATTACTTAAATCCGAAGTTAAAGAAGCATGTTGAAATAAAAACATATATATGGAGAACTTCCGTTATAAAGTGCGGTCCAGTGACCGCTACAAGCGTTTCGAAGCTTTTCTCTTTATTCTATTTCTCGAATTCGAATGAAGGAAGAGAGAGAAGTAAAAACGCTTCGAGATATTTGTAGCAGTGACTGGACTGCACTCATATAGTCTGTTCTTTTTAGCTGCGGAACTAGTACAATAAGTTAGAATAAGACAACTATATTTTTTCTCACTTTAACTTATTGCACCAGTTTAGTAGTGCAGCTAAACAGAACAGACCAATAATCGAGAGCAAATCGAGAGCAAAAAAATGCAGATGATTCTTTTCGATGAATTTCGGAACATATTCCATATTAAAACTCAATGCAGTGGGATTTTCTGCGCATGCACACTAAGCAAACGCTTGGAATTTGTTGCGTTTATTTGTTGATTTGTTTATTTGTTGTGTTTATTTATAGCGTCTCTGCAGTCAATTTATTACATAAATACTCTAGGACCCTGTGGTAAACCCGGTGAATGCAGGGAGTCAACATTGCGTCATTTGTCCACATAAGTCGCTGATTTTTATTACAGTTTTCAATATTTTGAACTCGAGGGCTGCGTTCCGATATTCACCTAGACTGCGTTCCGTTTACGCATTATGCGCGCATTTTCTATAGTATACGTAACATGAACTATATATAAATGCGCGCATATGCGTGAAACGGAACGCGGCCTTAGTCTGTTCTTTGTAGCTGCACTGCTGAACTGGTGCAAGAATGCTAGAGTGAGAAAAGCTATACCTAGGTAGAACATAGAAGTCATAGGGTGCGTTCACGGAGACGTTATCAACGCTACCAGTGCAAACGCTACCAAAATCGTTCACGGAGCCAATAGCGTGATAGCGATAGCGAGCTCCGTGAACGGCATTTAGCGTTTGCATTACTACAGCATCTTTTTGTAACGAGTTAGGAGTTAGGTTATATGTTGCGTTAAGCAAAAGCGAAAATGGCAAATTTAAAAGAAGTGCTAATAACATTATTACTGGAAGTACGAGACCTAATAAATGCATCCTCAAGTGACAGCGATGAGGAAGAAATTTGTCATATTACAACATATTGCAAATAAAAGAAAAAAAGTGGCGAGAATACCAAATTATGTTGAAACCATAGTGCCTGCCTTAAGAAGTGAAGATTTCAAGGCTCATTTCAGGTATCAGTTATGTAAATAATGTCTTTTTGTGAATAACATTTATATAGAAATGTCTATGGTATAGAACATAGTATAATTGATATAAATAAAAAATGCAATATTTAACTGATAAGTAATAAGATATTAATACATAATTTAGGATAACTCCTGAAACATTCAAATATCTTTTATCTATTATTGAGCTAAAATTACAAAGAGAAAAAGAAGGAGCACCTATGATTAGTGCACGTAAACAGTGTCTGTTGGCATTGTGGAGACTAGCTACTCCAGATTCTTTTAGGTAAACGATAAAGTACTTACAAAGCACTTCTGCTGAATGCACTCACTGATATCAGGCAACACAGCATGAATCTATCTTTGTTCCATGTATACTGAGCAACAGAAATTGAATAATGCTTATGTTGATTTATGTCACTAACTAGAAAACTACTTGTATATATTTTTATTTTCTAATGTTCAAGTCAATTTCCGACAGATTTAATGTCGGTAGAAGCACTGCGTAACATATGACAAGGCATGTTGTAAATACGCTTATTGAGCTGACGCCTGCTATAATTAAATGGCCAACGAATGAAGAATATGAGCAAATATGGGTAGGATTTGAAGCTGCTAGTGGATTCCCGAAAGTCATTGGTGTTATTGATAGCACGCATGTCAATATTTCAGCTCCTAAAGAAAATCCAGAGGCATATGTGAACCGCAAAGGTCACCATTCAATCCAACTTCAGGTATAATGCCTTTTTTAGTCAATGCTAGAATGCTCGATGGAGTCATTATTAATCTTCTTGTCGCTATTTCTGCAATTTTTCGTGTTTTAGGAAAAATATCTTGTAATGTTTTAAGCTTGTAAAACTCATAAAATGTTACTCTTAACTGCAACAAGTGCAAATATTATTATAGTGTTAATGCTTTCTATACAATTTAATCTAATATACATATATTGTTTACTTCCTTTTGTTGCAGGCTATTTGTGATCATACTTGCCGATTTATACACTATTACATGGGACATGTAAGATCTGTACAGGATCAACGAATTTTTCGTTTATCAGAAGTACAATCCTACTTAGGAGATGAGTTAAAATTTCCACAGGAATGTCATTTAATTGGAGATGCAGCTTATAAACTGCATAAAAATCTGTTAGTACCATACCGAGATAATGGCCACATGACAGATCAGCAGAGAAATTACAACTTTTGCCATGATTCTGCAGGAATGGTTATTGAGAGAGCATTTGGCTTATTAAAAGGACGTTTCCGAAGTCTTCTTACAACACTTGCGATGGACAGAACAGACCTAATTCCAAAGCATATTCTCGCCTGTTGTGTGTTACACAATATATGTACAATGAGAGGATACAGGAGAGGAGGAGGAAATGTTGGAGGATGTAGAAGAAAGACAATGTGTTGTGGGCAACACTGATGATATGCGTGATATCGCTCATGCAGGGGCTGCAAAAAGAGACTTAATAGCTGCAAGATTACTAATGAGACATGCTTAAGAAAGAAATTAATGTATGTTATTATTTTTTCAAATTAAACCACATAGATGATTCGTAAAGATTTTTTAAACAAAATCATACTTCTGTCATTAAACATTTATATCTGTTTGTAACTTAATATCACATGTAAATATTGCATAACTACAGGTACCTGTAGACGGTGCGTAATATACTTATAGACCTAGTATACTTGTATACTTAGGCTTAATATACTTAATTTTACTATTTTAGCATGAAGCAAATATATAATGTAATTAAATAACACTGTTAGACACTTCAGGCTATAAAATCAGACTTTTCTTAATATTGCAATCTATTGCTTCTAAGCGGATTCTTCAATAAGAATTTAAAGTATGAAACTAAAAACATGAAACATAAAAAATAGTCCTCATTGCATATCGTTTATTGCTCGTTACTAATCACGTGCAGCATGCAAGGACTTTAAATTCTCATTGAAGATGCCGCTTTACATCGGTTAACGTCTTTATAGTTTATAGCTTATTCAAAACCGATTCTAGTTTGTTCAATATTTTTTGTGACATTTCCATCCTGTCTTATGTCTCTTATTTTTTTGCTCTTCGGCTGTTTGGCGGTTTGCTAATATTGCTTCCAAAGTATTGCTGACTCTACATTTCCCTGGAAGTACAAATATTCTTTTTATTTTATTGCCTATACAGAGAGAACACTGCGCTCTTGGTGCACACTGCGCACTATTGTAAATGACCGAATTTGTTATAATTCAATAAAAAATGTGTAATTATTACTTATGAGAAACTGGACCACTGGATTCACTGCTAGAGTCGTTAGAGCAACTATCAGCAGATTTTAATTTTCCAGACTTGTATGTCACAGACCCAGTTGATGAAATAGTTAATAACGGGTCCATATATGCTTTTTCGCGAAGAAGGCTCTCCATGACCTAAACAGATGATATTGTATTACAAATAGTAAAAGAGCAGGGAAAAGTTTAGTACAGTACAAGTTAATTAAAGTAATACTTACTTCATAATATTTCCACGTGCGGTTATTGTTACCGGATTTTGAGTTGTGGTCTTTAATCGTCTTATATGTTCGCTTCATTATGTTTATTTTTGTCATACACTGTCTACCTGAAAACATGTGTCCTTTGGCATTCATGGTTGTTGACATTTCGTCCCACGCTTTTTTATGGCTGATTTTGCCTGAAGACATGGACAATTCTCGCAGCCTATATTCATCAACTAATAACATTATGGCCTCATGAGACCATCGAAAATCTGCAATATAAATCAAACATATATACAGGGTGTTTGATAGCTGATCATGCAGACGAAAGTTGGAGATAGATTGGGTGTAGCCGAGAAGAAAAGTCATGTACCATAATGTCAAATTGGCAATAGTTACCGAGTTATTAATTAAAACATGTGAGCCAACGAGCGCGTAGAGAGCGGAGGGCGGCCGCAGTAAGCACGTAGACATTTGATACAGGCGAAGTCAGCGAGTAGCGGTAGGCGAGCGCGCGCGGCGAGAGGCAACGTAAACAACAAGAGGCGAACGCGCGCGACGAGGAGCGAGCGAGTGTGAACGACGAGGAGCGAGCGAGCTATAAAGAAAAAGCTGTAAAGAAAAAGCTCGCTCGCTCCTCGTCGCGCGCGATCGCCTCTTATCGCTTACGTTGCCCCTTGCCGCGCGCGCTTGTCTACCGCTACTCACTGACTCCGCCTGTATCAAATGTCTACGTGCTTATTGCGGCCGCCCTCCGCTCTCTACGCGCTCGTTGGCTCACATGTTTTAATTAATAACTCGATAACTATTGCCAATTTGACATTATGGTACATGACTTTTCTTCTCGGCTACACCCAATCTATCTCCAACTTTCGTCTGCATGATCAGCTATCAAACACCCTGTATATATATATATATATATATATATATTTACAAATGCAGCAATGGAAAGACAACAAATTTGTTATCTAATGGTAGCTTGACATATTTTGTTTTAATATTTTTAATTGGCCATATCTTTAGGTCTGATAAGTTATTCACAACGAATATTCCCAGAAGAGACGAAGGACATGGTTTATTATAGAAATCTTCTCTATGTAAAAATTCATTACCAATAATGACATCCGTATTAAGTTCTTTATGATGAGCAACATTTTTTATTTCAACAATGCTTCCATTTATCAAACCACAGCAATTATCTGCTAATGTATCAGTACGTATGATTACATTTAAACATTTTATTATGTAATACTGCGGGTTACAGCAGCCTTCAATTAAAGGACCTTTAATATGAGTTGATTTTCTGTCAATTACAAAGTCAGATAATTATGTGCGATTCGCGTGGTTTCTCAATTTTTTTTGTTCCTGTTCAATATATCTCCGTACGACCTGTTGCAATGGTTGATGTTGCTTTTTCAGTATCTTCTTAAATATTTGCAAGTAATTTTCATACTTGAAAGAACTAAACGTATCCAGTGTACCAAACTTTTTCGCATCTTGTGTTAAATGAATAAGACCATGCACGTTGTGTGAAACGTTGTGAATACCATACAACAACTTGAAAGATGATACAAAATATTGCAGAAGCTCCTGAGCATAGTCAATAAGTTCTTCAAATTGTGAACAACATAATATCCTAATTGCCGCATGCAATACTAAAAAATGATGATATAAATCCTTTCGAAGAAGTTTGAAAGCTACACAACCTGTATATAATAAAACATTTCGAAATTCTGTTGCCTTCCATAGTTTAACAAGGGCAAGTGATTTTGGTTTGCGTACAAATTCGCATGGCATGTATAATTTTAAAACATTTTCCAGCTCCGATGATATTGTTTCAACTTTCCTGTGTTGCAAACGAACTTTAAAATCCCCAAATAACCATATGTATAACAATTTGCGCATAACTCCCAAACATACTAGATGCATATAATCGAGAAGTATATTGTTTACGAGATCAAAATTTGGTAACGCTAAAAGAGCTGAATGCCCAATGTGATAATTTTCATCCTTCCTTAAACGAAAATCTGTATCTGTTCGTACCTGTGCATTTGTTTCAGGAAAACACATTTTACCATTAACGTAGCTGCCTTCAGTTATGCACTTTGTGCAACTGGAATAACCGTTATGTCCTTTTATTTGCAACATAAATGCCTTTGCTGGCGCATCACATATTATAGAATGTATTGTGCATGACACACTTGTGTTTTTTAAAATGATTCCTTCTTCGTGTAATATTTTTATTTCATCCACAAATTTTGCAAGAAATTTATTATTATCTGATGGTTTCTGTGTTCCATAGTAAATACCAATAATAAAAGCCTCTTTAGATTCAGCTACGGATCCCAGGATCGGCCAAAATTGTCGTTGCGATGATTTTGATAACGGCAATCCATCAACATTTATTGATATTTTGATTTCTGTGATATTTTGTGAAAGTGACGATATAATACTTAGTATTCCTTTTCTCAGTCCAAAATGAAAATATTGACCACCAGCGCAAATCTCAACATTACTACTCCTAGGAGTATGCAAAAGAGTTCTTGGATCAAACGGTATGTTCAAGCTACAATTTTCACATGTATATTGTTTTATTCCTTGTAATAAAGAGCGCAATGATGATTGCGAAATATGTTCTTCAATAGCCCATTGGCTTAAAAATATTTTTAAATCAATATTCTTATTTAATGCGCTATCTACATTATTATTTTCTGTAATATCGTTTATGTGATCTTGTACGATTACGATATTCTCATCAGAAAGCTCATATTCACTTGATACTAGATCTTCATCATGTAAAACATTTTCAAATATATTTTGGACTGTATCGCCATTATGCATATTATCATTTTGTAATGGACTTTGTAATATATTTTCAGAAAATGATGTTGAAGCAAATGTAGACTCCGTAATTTCATGAGATTCCATTATAATATCTGCCTCCATTTTTACCATCTTTTTTCGTTGTGAAGAACTAAGTACGCGTTTGTACGAATGTTTATGCGACATGTTGAATTAGTTTCCCTAAAATTAGTTTAGTAGCAATTAAAAGTGACAAATTAACAACTGAAAGTCAAAGTTAATTTAGTAATTACTGTTTAAAATGTAAAAGTAATAATACACGCATTTGTATGAAAATTTTTATCGCTAATAAAAATTAATGGTCAATTATTGGAACATAAGGTCTGTTCTTCATTATTAAACTAATGCACTTTTGCAACTTAAAAGGAAACAAGTAGAGAAGACCGGTGTTGATTATCATATGTTTCTTATTCAGCTGCTAGAAATGCTATTGTATTGTGGCTTCATAAGTATATCCTACGCAATGGTTGCATCCAACAAAGAAAGCTGTTTTGCTGTTGTAAAATGTGAATCTAATTAACATATACTCTTGGTTTCGGTCAAAATTAAAAGCATACACCAATCAGATTTATAAATCTTACAGTTGCAAAGCAGCTTTCTCTGTTCAACGCAACCAATGCTTCTCGATCATATGAGTGATTTGGAGAGCTTGATGTAACGTTTGCCTGTTATTTGAGAATTACTATTTTCAACAGTAAATAACATTTTTAAACTTCACTTAATCGTTAACAGAAAATACTAGAATAAACAAATCATATTTTTTGATAAGCCTTCTTGAAACTTTATATTTGTAGCAAATTTTGTGGCATATTATGATTTAATCGATCTAATCTTTTACGAGCGAGAATGTATGAAAATGAAAAGCGCGTTGGGATATAGGGAGACCGAATGTAGCTTCTATATTTGGTAGAATGTGAAATGTTTGTTGCATTTTGTGCCTGGGGGTCGTGATCGAGTTCGCTATTTTCTCCCTATGAGGCTCTTTAGTTGACAAGAATAAAAAAGTTCGTTAAGTTTACTAATTTTCTAAAATTTGGAATATTAATCCTAAATTCATAGGTATCACTACAATTAATGATAATATTTATAAAAAACAGCAATACAGACTTGTGTCTCATTTTTGTGTTATAACTGCTACACATATCTGATTAATCATTGCTTTTAAATATTTTTATTACTTTCTTTAAAAATTTGTTTCTGTTATAAAAAATAAATAATTTTAATTATTAGGTGCGCAACTAAGTTCTCACTGTTTTTTGATGAAAATACAACTTTATTGCGAAAAAATGGTTACAAATGAATCATTCAAAATATTGCCCATCGCTAGCGACAACTTTTTCCCATCTTTCTGGCAGAGCTCGAATACCGTCACGGTAGAAGTGTTCGTCTTTTGAGGCTATCCACGAATCAAGCCATTTTGAGATGTCTTCATATGAGCGGAACTGCTGATTAGCCAGACCATGTGCCATCGAACGGAACAAGTAATAATCGGACGGCGCAATATCTGGGGAATATGGCGGGTGGGGTAGGACTTCCCATTTGAGCGTTTCTAAGTAGGTTTTAACGGGTTTGGCAACGTGACGCCGAGCGTTGTCATGCTGTAGAATCACTTTTTCGTGCCTCTGCTCGTATTGTGGCCGCTTTTCGCGCAGTGCTCGGCTCAATCGCATCAATTGAATTCGATACCGTTCCCCAGTGATGGTTTCGTTCGGTTTCAACAGCTCATAATAAATAACACCGCCCTGGTCCCACCAAATACACAGCAAAACCTTCGCAGCGTGAATATTCGGCCGAGCCGACGACGTAGAAGCATGACCGGGCAGTCCCCATGATTTTGTTCTCTTTGGGTTGCTGTAATGAATCCATTTTTCATCACCCGTAACGATGCGATGAAGAAAACCCTTCCTTTTTTGCCGCTGGAGCAGTTGTTCACAGGCGAAAAAACGACGCTCAACGTCTCTTGGCTTCAAATCATAAGGAACCCAAGTTCCTTGTTTTTGAATCATTCCCAACGCATGCAATCGCTTGGAAATGGCTTGGCGGGTAACTCCTAATGCTGAAGCAAGCTCTTTTTGCGTTTGGCACGGATCCTCATCGAGCAATGCCTCCAATTCAGCGTCTTCGAAGGTTTTTGGCCTTCCTTCACGCGAACGGTCGTCAACATCGAAATCACCGTCTTTGAAGCGACGGAACCAATCACGGCACGTTGTTTCACTTAGAGCAGCATCTCCGTAAACTTTTTGGAGTTCTCGATGCGCTTCAGCCGCCGTTTTCTTCGAATGAAAGAAGAAAAGCAACACTTCCCGCAAATGACGATTATTTGGCACAAAATAAGACATTTTCATACAACCAAAAGTATATGACGCAAAAACAAAATCACTAATGTGTCAAAGCGGTTTGTTTACCATATGTCTAAGCTTGGTTCATGACGTTTTGGTTATGTCACAATCGACCAGCACTTACTACTGGAGCCATCTCTTGAAAAACAGCGGGAACTTAGTTGCGCACCTAATAATTAATGTTTAATCAAATTTCTTTATTTTTTATATTACTATTTATTTTTAATTTTATATTGTAGAATAATGTTTATAATTGTAAGAAAAATTTTAAAAATATTTCAATTTGTTTCGAATATGCAAATTTATTATTTAAAATATTTTGTGACAACTATTGTGACCGTATCGAGTATGATTGTCATATTTTTCATTAATTCTTTGAAATCTCACATTTCTTATTAAACTGATAATATAACTTAAATGTATCATACTTATAGTAAGGCAGAAGGATGGAAATATATGAAGGATGGAAATCTATAGAGAACTGGAAATTCTATTAGCAATGAATTAATAATAAAAAAGTAAAGTATGGCAATCAAGCTCGGTCTTCATTATGTAACTGTGAATTTTTAAGTTAATAAGAAAAAAACTAGTGCAAACTAATGCTGCCAATTCAGATGTAAGGAACAGATCTATTGGGTGAGTGCAAAAGTTCGTGCGGAGTTTGTAAATAAAAGTCACACAGTGATTAGGCAAACAAAAATCTTTATTCAATCAATGATATATTCTCCATCGTTTTCTATAATCTTTTCCCAACGTTCTGGCAGCATACGGATGCCTCGATCATAAAAACTGCGCGGTTTAGATTCGAAGAACGAAGAGACGCCGTTTTTTAAGGCCTCCAAAGAGTCAAAGTTTTTTCCATTTAAATAATTTTGCAATGACCGGAACAAGTGATAATCAGATGGTGCGATATCAGGAGAATACGGTGGATGCGTTAAGACATCCCATTTCAGGCTCTTCAGTTTGCGCAGCATCTTTTTCGAAACGTGTGGTCTGGCGTTGTTGTAATGAAAGACGACTCCCTTGCGATTTGACAAAATCGGACGTTTCTCTTTTATTTCTCGATTCAGATTGGTTAATTGGCGACAGTACTTGTCCGAATCAATCGTTTCGCCAGCGGGGAGAAGCTCGAAATAGATTATGCCATTGCAATCCCACCAAACAGAGAGCATCACCTTCATCCGGTGCAAACTGGCCTTTGGCATTGCGTCACCATGCTCACCTGATTGTTTCCATGTCCGTTTGCGCTGAACATTATTGTAGAGGACCCATTTCTCATCGCCCGTCACTAATCGATCCAAAAACGACTCGTTATTGAGCCGCCCGAGTAAAGAAACGGCTGCAGAAATTCGCTTGATTTTGTTGTTCTCGGTCAGCAAATGGGGCACCCATATATCGAGCTTCAAATCGAATCCCATCTTTTTTAAACGCCGAAAAGCGGTTGATCGGTCAACGTTTAGTGCTGTAGCAACTTCTTCTGTTGAAATTCGCGGATTATTGAGCACTAAAGTACGCAAAACATCGTCATCAATGTCAGAAGGTCGACCAGAGCGTGGCTCGTCTTCAAGGTTAAATTCTCCGCGCCGAAATTTAGCAAACCATTTTTCCACAGTTCGTTTAGCTGGTGCTTCATCCTGATAAACATCCTGAATGTTTTTTACGGCTGCGGCAACGTTTATTCCCTTCCGAAACTCGTAAAGCATAACATGCCGTAAATGCACCTTATCGATACTCATTTTTACATATAATCTAAAAACTGAATTTTTACAAAGCATTATCTTATGAACGTCTATTGAAACAACTTTAAAATTATTTGTAATTGGAATCGGATTGCAATTGAATTCAATCATGCAAAAAATTCGTGATAGAACTGCCATATTTATTCCAAACTTGATTTCATGCAGCTATTTATGACTTACCAATTTTTTAATAATGTAGGCTAATTCACGTAGTTCGTCACACACCTGTGTGCTATGCTTTATCGGGTTAATTGAACACACAGGTTTATGTAATTAATTCAAGGACATAGCGTGTTAGGTACATAGCGTGTTTTTCCCACAAAAAGCGATACAGCGACTTCGGTGCAGCTGCAGTGAGATGCAAAGGCAGGACAGCAGTCTCAAAAATACTGTAACATAAGATATTAAAATTATACTGATAATGATACAGCTATTCCCACTTGATGCTACAAATGCTTGGAAACATTCTTCTGCTCTTTCTTTCTTCATTGAAAAGAAAGGACTAAAGGAACGCTTTTAAATATTTATAGTATTAATAAGTAGATTGCAACTTATGTCTCTATGTAAATCAATAAAGTCATCGACATTGTATGATTATACTGTCGATCTGCCGGTGACCGGCGTGATATTCCACATACAAAACTATGTCAAACATTTTACTTATTATATTTTACATGTTATATTGCATGAAAATAGTAGCTGGTAATGTACAAACGCTAACCCATCCATATCAAAATTTAATAAAATGTTAAATTAAACGAAGAATTTATTATTTTATATATATACATATATATTAAATTGGAACGTAAAATTATTCCTCGAACGTATACATAACCTATATTTTTCGATCAGCATAGTTTTGCGATATCAAAAGAATATCATAAAAATGTTATTTTATTTCATGTGCATAACGTGTTATTCATATGAAATTATTATTTAAACAATAAAATAATAACGTACCTTATGCGTTTCCCTTGATGCGCGCAGATATGCGAGGAGAACGTGTGAGAACGTGGTCGATCAGTCGGTGGTCGGACCGGAAATGATCAGCTATTCCAATGGGCGCGTTCAACAGACCAAGGCTGCGTTCCGTTTCACGCATGTGCGCGTATATATATTGGTATGTATATATAGTGTACGTCACGTATACTATAGATAAATGCGCGCACATGCGTGAAGGTACGGTCACATGAACGGGAATGAACGTGCGGGACGGAAGATGCGTGATTCAAACAGCCAATCAACGCCCTTCCAAACTTTTATATCCCGCATGTCTGCGTTTTATATAAAACATTTACATTAAAATAATACAACTATATCCTAAAAGGATCTCAGGATATCCCGGGAGATATTCAGGATGATCCTGAGAATATCCTGTGCTATCTAGATATCCTGAAAAGATCCCAGGATATCCCGGAACATATTTAGGATGATCCTGAAGACATCCTGTGCTATCTAGGTATCCTGAAAAAATCCCAGGACATCCTAGGACATATTCAGGATGATCCTGAGGACGTCCTGTGCTATTTAGGTACATACATATAAATTATAAATTAAATTATATATATATATATATATATAGCTAATTTAATTTAAGACATTACATGTGAGGTTGTGATTGGTGTGTACGACATACATGTGGAATATAACAACGTCTTCCGACTGATTGTAAATGCACCTAATGAACGTGCGATCGAGGGAACGAAGATACGAGAGTTTCAAACACTAATCTTTTTATTAGCTGTACAGATTGAAAAATCCTTTTGCACAATGAAAGTACTTATAATAACGAAGGCCGGAAGACAAAGTTTTATGTAAAATTCAATGAAAAATTTTACAATTACAGTTTCCTTGTCATAACATTACTCCACGCATGAAACAGACAAGGATAGTACGATCGTATCTGCCTGTAGCTCCATCGATCATGATTATGCGGAACTAATCTACTGTTCTGTTTTATCCAAAAATGTAGCAAACACAATTCCGTATGCATTACATTTTTCTCAAACACTATTTTTTTTACACTGACTTCTAAGCTCATTTCTGTTACTTCAGTTTTATTCTTTCATATTATGGCTAGTACGGAAGCAAAAGCTTTTGCATGGATAAACTGCAGAACTTTTAATTAATAAGTAAAGTTACGAGCTGACACAAAACATGATAACGAAACTGTAATTTTGTAATTTTTCATTGAATTTTACATAAAACTTTGTGTTCCGTACTTCGTTATTATAAGTACTTTCGCTGTACAAAAGAATTTTTCAATCCGTATAGCTAATAAAAAGAATAGTGTTTGAGAAAATTGAGTCAATTTGTCGGTAAAACATACGACTCCAGGATCCCCTTAAGCCAGCGGCACACGGTGCTTGTTTTCGTGCTGGATTGCTTGCTGGATGAAAATACTGCGTTCTGATTGGTGCATTTCCATCCATCTTCGGAAATGTACCAATCAGAACGCAGTATTTTCATTTAGCAAGCACGAAAACAAGCACCGTGTGTCGCTGGCTTTAACTATCTCTCTCACTCAGCTCTGACCGCACGAGACAAAGGCTGTGTTCCAAAATGTAATTCAAGCACTGGCAGCACTGTGAACACCGTTCCAAAATTCATTACAGCACGCTGCGACAGTGATGTGGGAGCTTGATGACGTCATTAATTTTGTCGTCACTTCCTACTGTGACTGCTGTGGCTAGAGAGGTGAAGTAGCTGCAGCATTAATATGGCAACTATCATGGAAGATATCATTCTAATCGACGTCGAAAATAATATTGAATATAAACTTATATTATCGAAGAAAGCAAGAAATGGTAAGTATGTATATATGTCTTTATTGTTCTCCTATTGGAGTTACAATTCGTTCCACATTCTCCTCCTTTCCTTCTCCGCCGCCTTACATTCTATGCTCTCTCTACGCCTCCCGCCTTTCTCTCCCCCTTCCCTCCAACACACACACACACACACCCCTCTCTCTCCTGCCCAATCTCTTGCCTATCACTTACATACTATGTGACGCATGGCGTGCGTCCGTGCAAGTCCTTCCCGCTTACGGTGTAGACTAGGGCTCCGCCGAGATCCGGCCCGTCGGAACCCAGAGGCGGGAAGGGCTCGTGCTCAACTGACGCGTTTGCATGTGAGTTAATAATGCTTTATTAAACAAAAATAAGGGATCTAGTAAAATATAATACGCCGAGATCGGCCGAGACGGCAGTGGTGGTTTGGTTTCGCAAACCACCACTGCCGCAAACGGGGTCGCTTGACCAGTGTCGCACGATTGCTCTCCTGTGACGACAAGGCGGTCGCTTCCGTTCGGGGATCGCTCGCTCGCTGATCGGTTCTCTTCGCCCAGGCGGGTCGTCGTGCCCGTCGTCGCGATTCTCGCAACGTGCACCCGTGACGCCAAAATCGGCACGCTTGCCGAGTCTTTCGATCTCAGGGGGTTCCGCCCCGAATGTCGGTCTCGCTCGCGACGGTGGGACTCTCGCCCCTGTGAAATCACGAGTATGCTCGTGTCGGGTACGGCGAGGACTCTCGCCCCGGGAAATCACGAATACGCTCGTGTCGGGTACGGCGAGGACTCTCGCCCCGGGAAATCACGAGTACGCTCGTGTCGGGTACGGCGAGGACTCTCGCCCCTGGGAATTCACGAGTACGCTCGTGTCGGGTACGGCGAGGACTCTCGCCCCGTGAATCACGAGCACGCCCGTGTCGGGTATGGCAAGGACTCTCGTCCCAGGAAATCACGAGTACACTCGCTACAATGCCGGAGAACTCTCGGGCTGGTCGGTGACTCGTTTCTCTCCGACGAGACGTCAGAAGGAAAAGGTGTCTCTCGTGAGTCGCACGGCGCCTTATATCGGCCGCCCGTACGACTCCGGATCGTTCCCCCTCTGTATCCCGTGGTACGGAATACATATGATGGCCGCATGCCGCGCGCGCCGAGGCGGTCCTTGCCTCCACGCGCGTACCGCGTGCTCGCTCGCTCCTTTGTTTCTTTCGCTCGCTCGCGGTTCTTCTCGCTCGCTTGCTAATTCGTCCGCTCGCTTGCACCCTGCGCAGGGTGCATGACCCGTGGTCGAAATGCATTTCGCGCGGCCCGAGTAGTAACGATCGGCGTATCGTTACAACTACTTATATCCTACTTAACTCTAACTTATATCTATCTTACATACTACTTAATTCTACTTATTTCTACTTAAAAACTATTGTGGGACTTCCGCTTCCCATTTTTTCCTCTCTCTCTCTCCCCTCCCTCCCTCCCCCTCTCTCACGTTCCACCACTCTGCTCCCTCCCCCTACCCCCATTCGCCTCCTCCCCTCTCCCTCCACTCTTCTATCATCCTCATCCACTTCTCTTCCTCTCCTCCCTCTCCCAACATCTTCTCCACTATTTCTGCCCATCCTATCTCTTCCCTTCCTTCCCACCTCATACATTCCTCCCATATGTGTTCCCATGTTTCCTCCTCCTCCCCGTACATTCTACACTTCCTTTTTCTTCCTTCTCCCAATACTCTCTTTCCCTTATCTCATTTCCTATCCTGAACCTTCACACCCTCCTCCATCTTCCTCCATCTTCCATCCATTCTCTAAGTATTCCGGTATCCCCTCTCCTTTCACATATTTGTACCATTTATTATATTTCGATTCTCTTATCTTCCTCCATCTTTCTTCCTGTTGCAATTCTCTATCCTTTCTTTCCACCTCCTCGTATTCCATTGTCTCCTTCCTCTCTTCCCCTATCCCTCTCTCCTTCATGAAATCCCCTCTCTCCTGTTCCCACTTTCCTACTACTCTCTTCCGCTTCCACCTTTCCTTCATTTCCTGTCAGCATTTCCTTGCCACCTCTCCTGCCCCTCCCTCCTGCAGCTTCCTCTCAAAATTCCATGCTCTCTTCCCTGCTCTCCCCCTCATTTTCTCTCTCCCCGTCTCCCCCCTTACCAAGTATCTTGGCGTCCTTCCCTCTGCCCCCATTGTCCATATATGTACCTACCCTGTGTCCCCTCCAATTCTTTTCTTTCCTTCCATCCCCAGGCCTCCGCTCCATATCCCATCACCGTCCAGACCAGTGTATCAAACAACCACAATCTTCTCTTCCAGTCTCTTCCCCACACCCTCTTTCCTATTCCCCATACCACTCTCATTGTTACCATCGCCTTCCTATTCCTTTCTTTTATATGCGCTTCTTGTCCTTCATTGCTCTGCATTGTATACCCCAGATATTTATATTCCTTCACTTCTTTCAGTCTTTTCTTCTTCCACCTCCATTCTCTCCTCTTTTTCCTTCCACCTTCCTTTCTGAATCTCATCATCTTTGTCTTTTCTATATTCAATTCTAACCCTTTCCTTTCTAGATATCTTTCCAATCTTACTATCATCGCCCTCATCTCCTCCTCTTCTTCTGCCATCAATACCACGTCGTCTGCATACGACAGCGTGTATATTTTTTCCCCCCTACCTTAATCCCTCCCCATTTTCCCTTCTGCATCTCCTCCTCCAAATCCACAAACAATATATTAAATAGTACCGGACTCAGTGGACATCCCTGCCTAACACCCCTCGCTGTCCAGAACTCCTCTCCTATCTCCTTCCCCACTCTAACCCTGCTCTTCGTTTCCTTCATTATTTCTTCTACCCTGCTCACCAATCCCTCTCTCACTCCTCTCTCCCTCATTGCCTCTATTACTTTATCTCTTTCCACCGAATCGAAAGCCACTCTTAAATTTACAAACATCGCTGTCAATTTTCCTCCTTTCCTTCCTAGTAGTTGATTAGGTAGTTCAGTGCGTATATCTGATCCACTGATCCCATCCCCTTCCTGAATCCCGCTTGACTCCCCGACAACAGACTTTTCCCCTCCACCTCCTCCCTCACTCTCTCCGCTAGCACTGCCGCGTAGATCTTATAAAGTGACGGCATCAGTGTTATCTCCCTATATTCCGTGACTTTCTTTCCTTTCCCTTTCTTTATTATCGGGATTATTATTCCTTCTTTCCAATCCTCCGGCCACTCCTCTCCTTCCGATACTTCTACACACCTCCCATGCCCATTTTTCCATCTCCTCCCCTCCATACTTCCATGCT